ATCAGGCTGGGATCAGGCTGGGATCAGGCTGGGATCAGGCAGGATCAGGCTGGGATCAGGCTGGGATCAGGCTGGGATCAGGCTGGGATCAGGGGATCCATCCCCCCCAGCCCCACAGCTGGCTCAGCACCTGTGCAGGGAGCGATGCTTGCCAGGCAGAGCCGTGCTGGCACAGAGCCCTGGAGCTCACTGGGCACGGGAGCACCACTGGGGAGAAGCCCTGGACCAAACTGGTTCCAGTGGGTTAAAGTGTGGGGATGCTCTGGTGGAAATAGGGGTGGTGGGAATAGTGTGGGATGAGATGCTGGAGCTGCTGGATGAGTCCAGAGGAGGCCACAGGGAAGTTCTGAGCCCCTCTGCTCCGGAGCCAGGCTGGGAGAGCTGGGGGTGCTCAGCCTGGAAAGGCTCCAGAGAGCCCAGAGCCACTTCCAGTGCCTAAGGGGGTCCAGGGGAGCTGAACTTTGGACAAGGGCCGGGAAGGACAGGACACAGGGAATGAATTCCACTGCCAGAGGGCAGGGATGGATGGGATATCGGGAAGGAATTCTCCCTGTGAGGGTGGGCAGGCCCTGGAACAGGTGCCCAGAGCAGCTGTGGCTGCCCCTGGATCCCTGGCAGTGCCCAAGGCCAGGCTGGGCAGGGCTTGGAGCAGCCTGGGGCAGTGGAAGGTGTCCCTGCCATGGCAGGGGTGGCACTGGATGAGCTTTGAGGTCCTTTCCAAAACAAACAATTCCATAATGCTGCTCCATGAATAAAAGTTCCAGGAAGCTGGACCGAGGCTGGACTCAGGGGTCTCTGATCACCCCGAGCTGGGGGAGGATTCTCCACCTGATGCCAAGATAATCCAGCACATGGGGCTGGGGCTCTGCAGGGGAAAGGGGCTTTATAGGATCCCACTGATCCCAAACTGAACAGGAGAGCCCCTTGAATCCCATCCCTTACCTTCACCATCCTCGCTCCAAGGCCATGGTCAGTGACATCAGCTGCACCAGAGCCTTGGCTGGGCTGGAGAGCTGCTCTGGGGTGGCTTCAGAGCCCTTCCAGTGCTCCCAGTTCCACCCCCTGGCTCCCCAGGCTGTATCCTCAGCTAGGAGCTGGGATTAGAGCAGGAATCAGCCTCCTCACCTTTCTCAGGTGTGCAGGGCAAGGAGGAGTCACACCGGGCTCAGGGAACCCCCCCCTCCCAAAATCTCCTGCAAGGTCCCAGGGGTGTGCGTGGTGTGAGCCAAGGCAGCCTGGCACTGCCTGGCATGCAGTTTGAGAGGAGGGTACAGGGGTTATTCACCTGCCCTGGTGGGGACACAGGCTGCTCCCCGAGCTCTGGCCCTGCCTGAAGCTCTGGAAACCCATCCTTGCCCAGAGCTGCCCTTCCTGCTCACGGTGCTGCCAGAGCAGAAACCCCATCAGGCAGCTAAATCCTGCTGCCCTGTTCCCAGGCTGTGCTCCAGGCTCATCCCACATCCCATAAGAGGGAAAACAGCCCCTCCTTATCCCCCCCACCAAATCTGCTCTCTGAAAGGGGTGATCAAACATCTCCACTTAGGAGTGGGGAAAACGAGGCACGAACCAGCAGTGGAGAGTCCCAGCAGCCCCACACAAAGCACCCATCCCTTTCCCCAGCACCTCCTGCTGCCACAGCACCCCAGGGTGGCCTGGCTCCGGGGGAAAGCCTCTCCCAGCTCAGGTTCTCCCTGGCTGCAGCTCCTTCCCCAGCCACCTCCAGGCCGTTCCCTCCCAGCAGGTACTTTCCTAGATTAAAAACCCTGCTCTCATCCCTTGGCCTGGTGCCCCAGAGCCTCGCACTTGTTTTTACTGACAGCTCCATCTTTTGTTGATTAAAATTCCTTTAAGTGCACCTGGTGGTTAATCCCACGCCCGAGCCAGGGATGCTGTCACTGTGCCCCCATCGGGCCTTTCTGCCCCGTGTCCCCGGCTGCTCCCTGTGTCTGCTGGGCTTCAAAAACAAAGCAAAGGAAATAAAAATGCTCCAGGCTGATGGGGAAAATGGGGATTTATATTTGGGAAGAGAAAGGGACTGGTGTCAGGCCGTGCCAGGCTCTGTCCTCATCCCTTGTCTCCCTTCTCCCACTTGGCTGGATTTACACCTAGAGGGATGGAGAGCCAAGGAACACGGGCCAGGAGCAGAGTCGTGCCAAAAGCGCTGCAATCCAAGTCTTGCGGCTCCAAACAAGCGGCGGCACTGACAAAATCCCTGCCAGCCCCGGGCTGGGGCTGCCGGGCCGGGCGTGCCCGGGACCGCCCACGGGTGAGCATCATCTGCTTGCGGGGATGCGGCAGCGCCGGGAGCATCCCTGTGCCCGGCGAGGGGGAGGATGCCTGCGTCCAGAAAGGTTTGGGATGCTCTGAGAAACCACCTTTCTGCTCCCCTTTGGGATTTCTGCTCCCTCCAGGAGCTGCTGCTCTTCCACACCTGATCCTGGTGCTCCCCCAAGAGGGTTTTGGCCCCGCTGAGGTTCAGCCTCCCCCAGCTCCATTTCCCCACCTGCTGTGACATCCCCGTGTCCCCGCGGTCTGGTGGCAGCTCTGGTGGTCGGGAGCTCTGCTGGTTGCCCACGGCCTTGCCCAGCAGCCCTGCAGCCTTTGGGGGCTGGGATGGGCTTCATCCCCTCCTGCATCCCACAGCCCCGCAGCTCCTGGGCTGCAGGACCCAACCTGCTCATGGAGCACGTCCCCTTTGTGCAGCTCCAGAGAGGTTTGGCCACTCATCACCCACATTTGGGCTGGGCCACAATTCCCACGCTGCAGCCCCAGGGTCTGGGGATGGATTTTGCTCTCTCCCAAAGCAGAAGGAGGAAGGAGAAGGCCTGGGAGGATCTGGGCACACATTCCAGCCCCGAGTCACCCCTCTGTTCCTCCTGCCTAAGTTTTTGTCCAGGGATCAGAGAGGGGCAGGTGGCAATGGGAATGGTGATGGGAGGAAGCTGTGTCCGGCTGGAGCTGCTGGATGAGTCCAGAGGTGTGGGAACCCAGGGCTTCCCTCTGGCTGCCCTGGGACCCTGGCAGGGGTCAGGAACCCCCCTGGACAGAGCCCCCAGAGACACTGGCTGTGATCTCTGTCCATGGAAAAGAGTTTTCAATCTTACAGGATGAATTACCAGCTCTGAGTGTTTGATATCAGTAATAATTAAGTGTGGCACGGGTGCAAAAGTAAAATTTTAGGATTCTAGATTAGGGGTCCAAAGGGCACAAGATGGAGGAAATTGGGTGTGTCTTGTCCTTTTTCTCCTTCTTCATGCCCTCCATGTTTCACTGTGGTGTTGGCATTTTTCTGTTGGTTCAGGCTGGGGACACACTGTCCAACGTAGGTGACAGATATTGGCACGTTATTGTAAATCCAGCACAGGTAGTTTGTGGTATTTAATGTTTGTACCATCCCACTGAGGGCAGAGCCCCACACGCTGCCCTGCAGGACAGAGCTGCGGCAGGGCAGCAGAACATGTTAGAGATAAACAGAATAAACAACCTTGAAACAGCACAGACCAATTATGGCTTCTGCTTTGGCAGCGGGGCTGACAGACAGAGACTTTCTACAATCTCAGAATCATCAATACCTCAGATTCCGAGAGAATGGGATGTACCAAAATGATGAATATGTGTTTGTATTTTGGGTATTCAACACTTCTATAGACAAAAGGACTCTGGAATGACTCGCAAGGTGCCGTGTGGATTTGGGAGCGATCCCACACGCTGCCTGGTGTCAAATAAACATTCACTTTCTAACTTTAAACTGATAGAGATCCGTCACGTGGGTTGGAGCCCACACTGGAAAGGCCAGGGCAGAATCATCCCTCTGACATCCTTGTGACATCCCCAAGAGGAGAGGAGAGGAGAGGAGAGGAGAGGAGAGGAGAGGAGAGGAGAGGAGAGGAGAGGAGAGGAGAGGAGAGGAGAGGAGAGGAGAGGAGAGGAGAGGAGAGGAGAGGAGAGGAGAGGAGAGGAGAGGAGAGGAGAGGAGAGGAGAGGAGAGGAGAGGAGAGGAGAGGAGAGGAGAGGAGAGGAGAGGAGAGGAGAGGAGAGGAGAGGAGAGGAGAGGAGAGGAGAGGAGAGGAGAGGAGAGGAGAGGAGAGGAGAGGAGAGGAGAGGAGAGGAGAGGAGAGGAGAGGAGAGGAGAGGAGAGGAGAGGAGAGGAGAGGAGAGGAGAGGAGAGGAGAGGAGAGGAGAGGAGAGGAGAGGAGAGGAGAGGAGAGGAGAGGAGAGGAGAGGAGAGGAGAGGAGAGGAGAGGAGAGGAGAGGAGAGGAGAGGAGAGGAGAGGAGAGGAGAGGAGAGGAGAGGAGAGGAGAGGAGAGGAGAGGAAGCTTTTCCCGAGCTGCAGAGCCGCGGGACAGCCCCGGGTGCTGCCAGCTGTGCCAGGGCCTGCCCACCCTCACAGGGAGGATTCCTTCCCAAATTCAAACTTAAATTTCCTGTTTTTGGCTTTTAGTCATTCCCCCTTGTCCTCTCACTCCAGTTCCTGATGAACAGTCCTCCTCTATCTTCCCTGTAGACCCTTCAGGTCCTGGAAGGTGCTCTGAGGTCTCCACACAACCTTCTGTTCTCCAGCCTGAACAGCCCCAACAATCCCGTCCTGTCTCCATGGGGGAGGTGCTCCAGTTCCTTTATCAACTTCAACACCTCTCCTGGACTTGCTCCAACAGTTCCACGTCCTTTTAATGACGGGGGCAGCAGAGCTGGATGCAGCATTCCAGATGGGATCTCATGAGAGCAGAGCAGGGAGGAACAATCCCCTCCCTCAAGGTGCTCCAGGCAATGCCGTGGCCAAAATCCCCATTCCTCCCACCAGGAACACCCGGGGCTGGGCCAGGACTCTGTGGGCTCGCAGAGGGCCGTGGAATTTTGCTTTAAACCTCACCCCCAGCTCCTGCTCATGAGTCTGACCCAGCTGCCTCCCCTGCAGACCCGACAGAGCTCCAAAACACAAAGGAAAGGTCTGGTTCTCCATGGAGAGCCGGAGGCAGGGAGGCAGGAGGGGCTCGGGAGCTGCCTCAGCTCATGGATGACTTTATTGGAACTCGCTAGGTCGGACAGGCATGCGAACAGGACAGATGGAGACAGAGTAGTATTGCCTTGGTCACAGAGACATGGAACAGCGCTGCGAGGACCCTGAGCCCTCCAGGCCAGCTGGGGTCCCCACACACGGTCTCCTATTGCTTCCCATCCCCATCCCTGCGCCCCCAGCACCCCGCTGGCCCCGTGCCCCTGGGATCAGCACCCGTGGGAGGGCGATGGTGGCACCTGGAGTGGAGCCCTTGGCACCCCGGAGGAGGTTCCCGGTGGCGATGGAGGGGTCAGAGCACGGAGCAGCCACGGGCAGAGATGTCCTGGTGAGCAGCTGGATCTCCAGAGGTGGAGGGTGAGGTGCAGCCAGAAGCGTGGGCAAGGGGAGGGGGCAGCCCAGGGGGTGCAGGGGCAGTGTGGCCGTGGCAGGGCTGGCGCCAGGAAGGGGAATGGGGCTGTCCCCAACCTCCCTCCCAGCCCTGCTGCTCTGTGGCACCTCTCGGGGGGACCCAGCTGCCAACCCCCCCAGGGATGGAGCTGGAGCTTTGGGGAAAGAAAGCTCCATGGGAAGAGCACCCCTTGGCCCTGGGGGGAGCATCCCTGGAGGAATGCGTGTGCCAGCCTTGGGGAGAGCATCCCTGGGCTTTGGGCAGGACATCCCTCAGCCCTGGGGGGAGCATCTCCCGTGGGAAGAGCATCCCTTGGCCCCAGGGAGGGCATCTCTGGAGGAATGCGTGTGCCAGCCTTGGGGAGAGCATCCCTGGGCTTTGGGGACAGCATCCCTGGTGGAATGCATCCTTTAGCCTTAGGAAGAGCATCCTTGGCCCCAGGGAGAGCCTCCTTCTCCTGGGGAAGGCACCCCTCAGGGCACAGGGACACACATCCTTCCCCTGGGGCACAGGGACACACATCCTTCCCCCGGGGCACAGGGACACACATCCTTCCCCCGGGGCACAGGGACACACATCCTTCCCCTGGGGCACAGGGACACACATCCTTCCCCCGGGGCACAGGGACACACATCCTTCCCCTGGGGCACAGGGACACACATCCTTCCCCTGGGGAAGGTGCCCCTCAGGGCACAGGGACACACATCCTTCCCCTGGGGAAGGTGCCCCTCAGGGCACAGGGACACACATCCTTCCCCTGGGGAAGGCGCCCCTCCCCAGGCACTGCTGCATCCCACTGGGCTCAGGAGAAGGTGACCACCTCACCCTGGGGGAAACTGGAAGCGAGGGTGTCCTGGCAGGAATCTGCAAGTTAAAGACACAAACATTAAACACAGCATTAGAGATTTGCTTCCATGAGCTGTGCGGGGAGAGGGACACTGAGCTTCCAGGGGACCCTGACTTAGTAGGATGCAGAAAACAGAGTAACCACGAAGTAAAGTGGCCTTTTTCAGAGGGATAAAATGCTGCTGCTGCATCTGTAAGTCGGGGGAAAATGGTTTTAAAAAGCCTCAGAATGGTGGCAGAGATGGAGACTTGGGAAATGATTCTCCATGAGAAACCATGCATGGAGTCAGGGTGATTGTGAGGGTATAAATGAAAAGCAGGGGGGAAAACATCACCCCCACCACATCCCTCTCAACTCTCTCCTCCCAGAAAGCTGCTCCTGCCCAAAACTTCCCAAGCCAACTCCAAAGCAGATGTCCCAAAGCCAAGCCTGGTGCATTAATCTCTCTGTGTTTTTTCTTCTCCCTCTCTCCCTCTCGTTTGTTATCATTGAATTAATTATCATTGATTGGAGCTCTGAGTCACCCCCCGCCTCTCCCCATGTGCCAGGGCCCAGTTTCCAGGCAAGGGGCTGTCAGGCAGGGAGACAGCGCCTGATCCACCTGATAAACCATGGAATTCTGCTTTAAACCATGGAATTCTGCTCTAAACCTCACCCCCAGCTCCTGCTCTTGAGTGTGACCCAGCTGCAGACCCGACAGAGCTCCAAAACCTCCTCCTTTCCCCCAAAACAGAGGTCTCACTCTCCACTGAGCATCAGTGCACAGCCTGGGAGAGCAATGCCCAGGCTTTTCAGACCTCACATCCCATCAAACCCCCAGGGATTAAAGGAGCTCTCCTCCCTGAGCTGGCAGGAGAGATCCCCACCTCTGAAGGCAAAAGGGTTTGGGGACCCAACAACATCCCCCTGCAGCAATTTGGGGAGCAGCAGTGCCCATGCAGGCAGCAGCTGCTGAAAACCATCCCAGCTCTTGGTTCAGTCACTCCTGCAAGCAGCTAAAAGCTCTTGGCAGGGTTTGTGTCCTGCTGGAAACATTCCCCGTCAGGTCGATTGATTTACCAGGGGCACGACTTGGCTTTTAACTCCCATCTCCTCCTCCCTGTTCAAAGCCATTTTGTGTGTTAGCTCGAGACCTGCTGCCCGCAGCCCCCAGGGACCTGCCTTGGAAAGCAGCTTCCCAGCCTAGGAAAAAAATTAGCACGACTAAAAATAAATAACAACAGCCCAGATTTTTATTTTTTGGTCCCCCAGACAAAGGCACCACGAGTAAACATCCCTCCTGTCGTGGCTTATGGGTACCAGCTCAGAACAGAGTGGAGCAGGCCCCTCAGTGATGTGCAACCCTTCCTCAAGCCTATTTTTGGGTGCAGATCTGCCACCAGCCTCCACAGGGTGCTGCCCTGAGCACGGCAGGAGGCTTGGCACAGCCTGGCACAATCAGCTCCAAACACCCCAAGGTTTGCTGCGCTGCTCCCAGAGCCATCACCCCCAAATTCCCCCTCAGCCAGTCCTGCCCTCCTGCCTGGAGCATCCCCTCAAACAGCCTGAAGTGCTGCTGTGGGGGCTGCCAGCATCCCCTCAAACAGCCTGAAGTGCTGCTGTGGGGGCTGCCAGCTCCCAGCTGTGCCAGAGCAATGTTTGGGTAGGTGCCACGCTGACTCTGCTCTGCTCTGGCACCGCAGCTGAGGAGGAGGAGGAGGATTTGGGGCTGTTTTGGGGGGATGAGCAGCTCAACATTCCCCAGCCACACCTGCTGGACCCAGAGCCCCCCAGCTGATGGGGTTCTGCCCTGCTCAGGTGAGACCCCACCTGCAGAGCTGCCCCAGCCCTGGGGAACAGCATCAGGAGGACGTGGAGCTGCTCTGGAGCCAGGATGGGAGAGCTGAGGCTGCTCCCTGGAGAGGAGAAGGCTCTGGGATATCCTAGAGTTCCTTTCCAGTGCCTCAATGGGCTCCAAGAGAGCTGGAGAGTGACTTTGGAGAAGGGGGAATGGCTCCCACTGCCGGAGGGCAGGGTTAGATGGATATTGGGAAGGAATTCTTCCCTGTGGCAGTGCTGAGGCCCTGGCACAGGGTGCCCAGAGCAGCTGTGGCCGCCCCTGGATCCCTGGCAGTGCCCAAGGCCAGGCTGGATGGGGCCTGGAATGCCCTGGGATGGTGGAAGATGTCCCTGCCCATGGCAGGAGCTGACATGGGATGGAATCTAAGGTCCCTTCCTACCAAAGAACTCCCTGAGTCTGTGATTACTTTTTCACAGCCACAGGACACATCCCCTGCCCCCGCCTGTCCCACACAGGAGAAAGTGTGACCCCCTTCCTGTGGGAGTCCAGGGCTTCCCTCTGGCTGCCCTGGCAGGTCTGGGACCCTGGCAGGGGTCAGGAACCCCCCTGGACAGAGCCCCCAGAGACACTGTCTGTGATCTCTGTCCATGGAGAGGAGTTTTCAATCTTACAGGATGAATTACCAGCTCTGAGTGTTTGATATGAGTAATAATTAAGTGTGGCACGGGTGCAAAAGTAAAATTTTAGGATTCTAGATTAGGGGTTCAGAGGGGACAAGATGGAGGAAATTGTGTGTGTCTTGTCCTTTTTCTCCTTCTTCATGCCCTCCATGTTTCACTGTGGTGTTGGCATTTTTCTGTTGGTTCAGGCTGGGGACACACTGTCCAACGTAGGTGACAGATATTGGCACGTTATTGTAAATCCAGCACAGGTAGTTTGTGGTATTTAATGTTTGTACCATCCCACTGAGGGCAGAGCCCCACACGCTGCCCTGCAGGACAGAGCTGCGGCAGGGCAGCAGAACATGTTAGAGATAAACAGAATAAACAACCTTGAAACCAGCACAGACCAATTATGGCTTCTGCTTTGGCAGTGGGGCTGACAGACAGAGACTTTCTACAATCTTGGGATCATCAATACCTCAGATTCCAACACCTTCCCAGGAGTTCACAGAACCCTTTCTGAGCCCCCAGTTACCTTTTCCATGGGTAGAGGCTCGGCTGCCCGGGAGGAAAGGAAGTAACAGACTGGGAGCTGGGAGGAGGCTCCTATTTATAAGCTGAACTGCATCTTATTTTACATCTGCCTCTGCTCTCCCTGTTCCTCGTCAGCACGGGCAAGCCATGGGGCTGCTATTTATTTTCTGTTTTTCTTTATTGTCATCAAATAAGCAGTGAGGATTTTTCCTGGCAGTGCTGGGGAAGCCAGGAACAGGCTCCTTCTGGGTAGAGCAATTACTCTCTTGACATCTTCACCTCCTGCCCAGCTGCCTGACAGGCCTTTCTATTTCCTCAGCTCTCTCAGGCATCTCCCAAGAAACAGAGCAGTTGTTGCAACAATAAAAATTAATACTTTGCAAGCAACCTGGGAGCGTGGTGCAGCCTCCACGCAGCGCTGGACTGCGAGTCCTCCAGGAGGAAAAGAGAAGGAAGGAGCTGAGGCTGGAGCAGGGAACTGCTCCCAAATCCCCTGATCCAAAGGTTGCTCTGGTTTGGGGTGGGTGGTCACAGGGGCTCGATCCTTGTCCCAAAGTGGGCAGAGGAATGTGAGGACCCCACCAGGGCAGCCCAGTGTCACTCAGCACCTCTGCGGTGTTCCAGGCCAGGCTGGACAGAGCCTGGAGCAGCCTGGTCCAGCAGAAGCTGTCCCTGCCCATGGTCCTTCCAACCCAAACCATCCCATGGCTCCATTCCAGATCTCTGGTCCATTCCCACGCTGAGCACCACACGTCTCTGCAGCCAGGGTGGGGACAGGGACACTAGAGGGGCACTCGAGCTCTGTGGGGTCCCACCCTGCCGAGCATCCCACTGTCCCTGTGAGGGTGCTGAGGCCCTGGCACAGGGTGCCCAGAGCAGCTGTGGCTGCCCCTGGATCCCTGGCAGTGCCCAAGGCCAGGCTGGACAGGGCTTGGAATACCCTGGGATGGTGGAAGGTGTCCCTGCCCATGGCATGAGCTGGAATGGGATGGAATTTAAGGTCCCTTCCTACCCAAACAATTCTGACTCTTTGATTACTTTTTCACAACCACCAGGACCCATCCCCTGCTCCACAGGTGAGGGACACGTTCCTGTAACACACCCAGTGCCCATCCCTGGGTTCCTGCTCAATCCCATAGGCCTGCCAGGAGCGAGACCCAGCATCCCATCCCATCCCATCCCATCCCATCCCATCCCATCCCATCCCATCCCATCCCATCCCATCCCATCCCATCCCATCCCATCCCATCCCATCCCCAGGGAACCTCTCCATTCCATGCTGCCGTGCCCCAGCAATCACTGCACACCCCTTGGTGTTATTTTGGGTTTTTTAAGCCATTTTAGGGCTTGGGAAGGGGCAGTTGGACTCCTGTGGATTTATGCAGTTTTTTTGGGAATAAATCCCACATCTTGGCTTTCTCTCGGTGCCTTTTGCCTGGGCTGGAACGTGAGCTCCTACCAGATCCCTGCACACAGATAAGTCCTGTGAGGATATTCAGGGGAGGTATCGTATATTCCTGCTCTATTCTTATCCTATTCTCCAGGCAGCCAATTTTGGCCACTGTTGGAGATAAAACCCTGGGCTCCAGAGATATTTAGAGGTCTGCTCTGATCCACTACAGCTCCTCTTCTAATCTTACCCGGGATTAACCCGTGCTAACTCGCCCCCAAAACCAACCCAGACCCCACCTAAAAATAACAACAAGCTGTTTTCTCCCTGCTGCATCCCCCAAATCCTGTTCAGAAGAAGGCGAGGAGGAAGAGGGAGAAGATGCGATGGGTTTTTCAGCAGTTTGGTGCCTCCCACTGAAATCCCTCCATCTCCCTTTCGGGGCTGGGCTGTTTTAGAGGAGCTTTTTGCACATTAGTCATCCCTTCTCCGGGGTTGCATAACGCCCCAGCTAAAAATTGCATCCTGCCGGCTCCGTGGCAGCTCCTGCCCAACCCTCCTTGCTCTGCTGGGGATGAGATTTTGGGGGGTCCACCAAAGGTTTTCCACCCCAAGGAACCTCTCTGGCATTGGGCTGAGCTGCTCTGGCAG